GTGCTCACTGTTGTGTGTAAATCACTCTGAATACTCTTAGTGGAAAAATCCAGAATAAAACCATTTGGGAAACAAAAATACATAATTTCACCACTTAATATCAACCCTTCTGGCTGCTTCTTGGGCTCCTGATTCTTCCTTCTGGGCATTACAATGGTGTTGTGCAACATCAAACTCCACATGGTGAATTCAGTGCATCTTCCCTAGTTAGAGAAGATGACCCCCATGGTCCCTTCTAACTCTACAATTCTATGATTCTGTTTGAGCCATGCTGCAACAGAAGACTCTTATCTAATCTGCAAAATTGTTGTTGTTTTAAAAAATAAATAAAGCAAAATAAAAACAAGATGCCCAAAATTAATTCAGCTAAATGTGAAATTTGATCTGGGAAATTCTCCCTCTGGAGCAATCAGCCTGAAGAAGGAGGGGGAAGAGCTCAGCCTGTGATGATGACAAAATTCAATCAGAGTTGAACTGCCATTGATTGCTTTGATCTGGTTTGTGTTTATCTTTTAATTAAGCTGCTCTAATCCATTTTTTATTTTTTATGTGCCTTTACCATTTCTCTCCCTGCCCATTCTCCAGAGGCAGTTGTTCTGCTGGCATGACAGAAATGGGCATGTTGGAACAATGGGGACCACACTGGTTAGGTATTATGATAAAGTGAGAGCTGCAACAAAAACATTGCAGTGTACCCCCGGTCTCCATGGGGAGTGTCTGCTTATGGTCATTGTCAGGTCTTGTGGGGGTTGGGGGCTAAGGGGAATTTTGTGGGAAATTTGCAGTTAAAACATAACCAGCAAACACAGTGCTTGTTAATGTATGAAGGGGCTAAGACCATAGAGCTGTATTTGCTGAGAGGCAGATTCAGACCATAGAAATGCAATTTGGTAGAGTAGGCTCAGTCAGGTTATGTCTCCTCTTCTCCAGAGAGGGAGGAAGTAAAGCTTTTTCTTCCCAATCACTCCCCCTCCCTCCCTCTTTCTCTCTTCTTTGAACCATGCAGCTGATCAGATGTGTGAGACTGGTGCTCCAAGCCCAGGCTCCATGTTTGAAGATACTATTCTGTGTTTTGTGCTCAGTAAGCCAGCATGAGTCTGACCAAACTGCGGGAGGCAGTGGAAGACAGGAGTGCCTGGCGTGCTCTGGTCCATGGGGTCACGAAGAGTCGGAAATGACTAAACGACTAAACAACAACAACAAGAAGAACAACAACAACAAGCTTTTACCTGAAAGGAACTTTGATGTAGCATTGATTGATGCAGTGAATGAGACCTTGCATCGTGTAAGTAAAGGAATTTAAACTTACTTTATGGTGTAGTCTAGTCACAGAGAGACGATATGGTGAGGAGCAAAAAAGACTTGTTTAATCCCTGTAAAAGGCAACCAGACACTGCTGTAAGGCTGTGTTAATATGCTATGTGGTACTATGTTGCTTCTACCCCAAATCTCCACCCAGGTAGCAAAGTACTCTTGTCCCATGCCTCAGAGGAGTAGGCCAGCTGGGGGGGCCTTCCAGGGACTAGCTACTTTGTTTGCGTGAAAACTTTATTCCAACAAGACTTCCACTTCAGGCCTCAGACAAGCTCTGCATGTGGCTGTCTCCATCGTTCCCTAAGACTTGTGCTTCATTTGCAAAGGGACCGTTGTCTAAACTGGAAGGGGATGATTTGAGTTGTAGTCCAATAGCATCTGGGAACTCATGGTTGAAGATCATGTGATCAGCCTGTTTGCTGATCAATAGGATGTGGATATAGTTCTCCATTTGAAAGGAGATTAGGAAACACAGATTTTTATTTTATTTTTTAAATCTGGCAGATGGGCCACAGTTGTCCTGTTAATACAAACAGCAAGAGACATTTGGGTGAGAGGTCAGCAAAGCTGTTGTTGGACCAGAGTGGACAATCAACAGCCAACAAGGAAGCAATTGTTGAAAGTCCCAAACAATGTTTTCTGTACCAGACATAAATAAAGGAACACTCAAAAGATGGAAAAAATGTTTCCTGGAGCGAAAGAGACAGATAAGGGGGCAGGTGTAGGGTTGTTAAATTGCCTTTTCTTATTGTACTGGGAGCCATTAAAAATAGCCAGGCCATTTCAGCTACTGAAAGTTTTTAAGACCTTTGAAGAATGATAAAGCTTTAGGCTTAGGAGGCTGCGAGTAGCAGTGCCTACGTTTAATGATTGAATAAACTTGACATTGATGACATGGCAGAGGCACTGGAAACAATGATGAGAAATGAGATGATAGAAGGCTTGGCAAAACAGAGATGAGGCACAGTCACTGAAGATCCCAAGCAGAAGGGCCCTGTCTAATCAACAGGCTTTGATTCTTTTAATAGATCACTGGGGTAGCTGGAAAGACCGCAACACAAACCCACTTAAATTAGCATTCCCGAGGACCGTGCCCAGGGCTTCTAGCCAGCATTTCATTGCCATTGTTGCTATTCCATGGGGGCAGGGAACATTTTCTCCTTGAAATTTTTATGAAAACAAGAACCAGAGCGATAAATTCTTTGCAACTTTTCAGAGGTGGGAATGTTATTAGAGCCGATAAAAAATCTATTTGAGTTTCCCTTTAAAGTGTTTAATCTGAAATCCCCTGAAGATTCAACACTGGACTCATATTTGATCATTTAAATGAAAAGAGCCTGCAGGTTGCTCCACTATTTTCCCCTCTCAGGAAAAAAATGTGTGTGTGTGTGGCGCGCGCGCGCACACACACAAAACTATTGAAGAGATGGACTGAAATATGTGGAAAGTCTCTTCCTGCACTTTACATCTGGGAAGGCATCAAGAGGCCTCTCAGTCTTTGGAGACTCTCCTGCATGCTGGGGACACAGAATTCTGAACCACCTCAAATTCTGCAGCCAAAATCCTCACATTTTGCATTCAGAATACATGACTGAAATCTGGACAATCTGCATAGATTTCTTTAACCACACTCATTTCATTTATCCCTGTTGCAGAATCTGAGTGCTTTTAAGAGACTGGAAGCTCTTTGTGTGTGTCAGGCATTATTATGTTGCTAGACATAGTCCCAAGTCCATGTTCTCATGAATATTTTGCTACAAAAATCAGAAAGAGTATTTTGTAAAATGTGCTTCATGTAATATGAGATAATAAAGTACAGCAATTTGAATCAAAATCTGAGAGGTAGTTAATCTGAGCAGTTAGTTAATATTATTCTTTAAATTATGGTGATCCGATGCTGAACAACCCTATTGAAGAAGATAACAGTGGTTACCCAAACCTCATTTCTGGTTGTAAAGGGGCGCCCATATCAGTTCAAGCTTCAGGGCCCTGAAAACGTATTCCTATTTCTGTCAATTACATCGAGTGCTTCTTATGCTATTAGCCTGTGGTATTTGTGCCACCTGGGGAACCTCACTTTTGTGTACCTGGCCCGATTGACATGGGGCAGCTTTCTATTTTCCTGTAAAAGCACACAGGAATTCTGGGAGAATTCAAAATCGCTCTGCCTCCAACATGGTTCCTTCTGGTTTTGTTCTTTGGTGGTTCACTGATCCTCAGCACTGGAGAAACCCCAAAAACACAAAAAGCAATTTCCTTGTATAAAGATTTTAATCATTTAAAGACACTCCTTAATGCAACAGGGCAAGACATCCAGTATTTCATCCAATATAATTCTGTCTCCCCCTCCATCTATTAATCTATAAGCCATTATTTCAGGTTCAAAATACAATAAAGCAAATACCCTCATCCCTCACTTCACAGAAATAAGGTTATTCAAAAGCTACCTTGGTGTTTTTATCCCTTCTCTTGAACGTACATTTTACCCCACCAAGCACAACTAACACAAAGTGTGCAAGGCAAAGAATCCAACAGCCTTATCCTTTAGATCAGCCCTTCTCAACCTTGAATCCCCAGATGTTGTTGAACTACAACTCCCATCATCCCTAGCTAGCAAGGCCAGAACTCAGGGATGATTGGAGTTGTAGTCCAACAACATCTGGGGACCCAAGTTTGAGAAACACTGCTTTAGATTGTCCAGTTTGATCAATGGAATAATAGCGCTTTTCCCGAAGAGGGAAGGTGATTCCACACCTCCAGCACTGACCAATAAAATCTCATCATCCCAGGCCACTTTTGCAACAGTGTTATCCATCAGTTTTAGGACTGTGTAAATCCTCAACTCTCCAACAGAGATTGCAATGCAATATCCATTTGGTATATTAACCCCACACCTAGAAAGTGATATTTTTTTCAAGCAGAGTCCTTCAATGGAGGAAGTGTTGGCTTTCTTCTATAATTGCTTCTCATTTAGGTTAAGCAGCATTCATTCTTCAAGGTCAACGAGAAGCATTTTAGCTTTGTATTAAGCTGAATTCTCCTCCAGCAATTATCGGTATTACATTTGCATCTCTTCATTCCTCTGTGGAGCTCCAGGTGACGCATATGGTTTCTCCCTCTTTCATCCTCGCCGGTGTGAAGTAGGTGAGGCTGAGAGATGGGGAAGGGTTGCAACTCAGCAGTGGACCATTTTTCTTGCATGCAGAACAAGGGTGCCAACTTGTATAAAATATTGGATTGGCCCAGGTAAGCCATACTTAATTGATCACAAGATGTGGCACACACACACCATTTGAATGGCAAAGCCCATCAACTTTGGGGACCCCTGGTCCCCTCAAATATTTTATGGGAGGGGCGAAGGGGCCTCAGCCCCTAGGAGTTGGCTCCTATGGTGCAGAAGGTCCCATCTTCAGTTTCTGGCATCTCCTGACAGGTCTGAGAGGGACTTCTCTTTGAAACCCTGGAGAGCCATTGCCTGTCAGTGTAATACTAAGCTAGGTGTACCTTTGGGTTTGTAAAAGGCAACTCCCTATGTTCTTCTAGCAATCAATTCAAGACCACCTAGCCACTTTTGTGGCCACTTGGGGATCTGAATCCAGCAGGTTTCCCTGGTGTAAGTCCACCGCAACAGGCTAGTTCAATGATGATGCTACAAAGCACAGTAGCTCTTCCTTCCTCATCCTCTTCTATGTGAAATTGCCACCAATATGCCTCCATGCTGGTTTCAAGGACAGAGGTGGGAGGCTGTACTGAGGAAGGTAGTCAAAGAGTAGATAAGGCTTTGAGAACATCATTGGATCCGTGCGCAGCAGGGCACAGGGCGTCATGTCTGGTAACCAGGAAGATGAGGAATGCTCTTGGATCGAGAAGTACTGCCATGGGTGGGGGCCTATGTCACAACGGCTGCATGGCACTCGGCAGGGACCCTGTCATAAGACAGATAGAAAGAGAATCTTAGGCGCACTAATGCAGGCTTTTAGCCGGGTGCAATTTATGAGCAACACACGACTTGCCTTATCAATTCCCTTCAGTGTTTAGCAATAAAAAAGCAACAAAGTTTCAGAGAGTACCTCTAAATGGAGTCCTTAAAATATAGTGACAGGCAATCAGTAAGGGAGAAAAGAAATCATTTTGTTCTGGTGATTGCGAGGGTTTGTGTGGGCGGAGGATGGGACAGAAATATTGTTTGCCAACCAAATAACTCTTTCAGGCTGCAACCCTGTACAGGGGCTCAGTGGGACTTACTTCTGAGTAGACAATAATAGAAATGCGCTGTCAGACAGTTCCAGCCTTTGCAGAACATGTAAATCCAGGGTTTAGAACGTGTTGGGATTAGAATAGAAAAAGCAGCTGTGTAGAGATGAAGTTTTGAAGTAATCAAAACCATGGTTTGCAAACACAGCTCAGACTATTGTTTCAGTTTCTGGTTTGTATTAGCCATGGTATGCAGACATTAAACTCTGAGCTCCATAGAGATGGGGTTGGAGGGTGAAGAAAGGAATGTATTTTTTGAGGTTTGTAGGCCAGAATGGATAACAAGGTCTGAGTTCATGGTATTTTAGTGTTGCTTGCTAAAACATGTGCTAGACTCTTGGATGCCTCTCTGTGCAAGGCTATTACTGTTAAGCCTATTTGTGCTTTTACAAAAACACCTACAATTCTATGCAAAACTATGACAAGTAGTGCCTAACCCAAAACTGTTAATCAGAAACATTTCAGGGTGTTTATTACCTGCTTTTTCAAGGTTCAGTATTTATTCTTAATTAGTACAATTTATATGTACAAAAAGTCTCAGTTTAACAAGGTCGGTCCTCCCTTTACAGATGGTCATTTATACTCACTACTGTCTCTGCCTTTGGAGCTGGGATAAAATCAACCTCAGTTAGATGCTGAAGACCACAAAAATTGCCAAATCTTTCATGCTTCCTCCACTTTGCCCGCTGATTCTGAAACCAGATCTATGTGTGAGGGAAGAGAAGAAATGAAATCAACCAAAAATATATTAGAATAAATAAATGTGTCCACAACTGAGAATTGTTTCTGGTAAAATATAAGAACTAAATGGATTTTAATTTGAACACCTGTGGTCGCCATAGTGGCTCTCCCCATTGGAGGTGATATCTGTTAAAAAACTTAACATGAAAAGGGAATGGACAACCTATAAAGAGCTGTTAACTGAAGTTGAAAATCAACTGAAACGGAAAAAAATTGATAATATGATAAAAAACACATATTAATGGACTGGTAACAATATCACTAAGTGATATATTTAGGAATGATAAAGGGACTGGTTTCAAGGTTCGAAAAAGATCTATTGGAAAACAATAAGAAATTATTATTAAAAATGTATAAACTACTGTTAGAATGGGATACTAAGGATGAAGAAGTCAAATCAGTAATGATACACTGGGCAAAAGATATTGGGTATAACATACAACTTAACCCATGGGAAAAGTTGTGGAAGGAGGATTTATAATTCACGGCTTGTACGCTGAAATAATACAATATGAAAATGATATACTGTTGGTTTTTGACTCCTATAAGATTAGCAAAAATGTATAAAAAACACTTCCAACTTATGCTGGGAGGAGTAAGGGAAAAGAAGGCACATTCTATCACATGTGGTGGACATGCAGAATAGCAAAAGAATTCTGGGAAATGATATATAATGAATTGGAAAAAAATGTTTAAGGCAACCTTTGTCAAAAAACAAAACAAAACCAGAAGCTTTCTTATTGGGAATAATAGGAGATGAAATACCAAAGGACTTGAAAAGACTGTTTATGTATGCGATGACAGCCACAAGAATGCTTTTTGCCCAGAAATGGAAGGAAGAGAAAGTCCCAACCAAAGAAGAATGGATAATCAAGATGATGGACTATGCTGAAATGGCAAAAATGACTGTGAAGATCAGACACCAAGATGATAAGAAATTCAGCAAAGAGTGTGAATAATTTATAGAGTACCTTAAAGATCACTGTACAGTGGTGCCCCGCAAGACGAATGCCTCGCAAGACGGAAAACCCGCTAGACGAAAGGGTTTTCCGTTTTTGAGTTGCTTCGCAGGACGAATTTCCCTATGGGCTTGCTTCGCAAGACGAAAATGTCTTGCAAGTCTTGAGATTTTTTTCGCTTTTCGCCCCTTTATCTAATCTGCTAAGCCTTTAATAGCCTTTAATAGCCTTTTAGCAGCTAATCCGCTAAGCCTTTAAGCCTTTAATAGCCGCTAAACCGCTAATAGCGCTAATCCGTTAAGCCGCTAATAGGGTTGCTTCGCAAGACGAAAAAAACGCTAGACGAAGACTCTCGCGGAACGGATTAATTTCGTCTTGCGAGGCACCACTGTAGATATTTAAAAACGTTAGCAGGATTGTTATAACACTTATAATGTAATAAGACTAAAGTTAAAAATGGATACAAAATGGATCTGAAAAATATAATTAGATGCAATAGACAGACCAGAACAGATAAATATTGGACATGGGGGGGGGGGGTAAGCCCAGGGATTCAAGTAATCTCAGATGCACAAAAATTGTAAATGATTTAAATGTATAGGAAAATTGTTAAAAAACAAAAAGCAAAATATTTTAAAAAGAAAGAAATTAATTTGAACACCTGTGGAATTGCAAATGGTGAAGACTACCAGAAGGACTAGTGAGGAACCCAAATTTAGGTGGATTTGTAGCTGGTTGATTGACTAGCTGAGATTTCTGCATTGTAGGTGGTTGGGGTAGATGATCTTCGAGGTCCCTTCCAACTCTACAATTCATTGATTCTATGATTCTGTGACATCTTATGAAAATTCAACCCTGCAGATTCACTGAGACCAAGATGCAAATGACATTTTTTGAGGTTTCATTCTTTTGATTGGCAATGAGCTGAGAATAAGTGTACACTTCTTGACAATGAATATATGCAAATGATATTCATATCTGAAGGCTCTCTATCCACCCCCACACTATGAAACACTAGTGTAGGGGGGGGAAGCCTTGCCTGTGAAATGGCTCTTAGATATGATCACTTAAACAAGACGGAGAGATGTGTCTTCTCATCTAATCTAAGAATTTAAATTCAAAAACAAGTTTTGCTCTTGCTTTGCTGGGGGCTGCTTTGAAGAACTGCCTCAGGAAAACTGGGTTTGGAGTAAGCAATGAACTGTTTGCTGATTTTTACGAGCCATTCTGATAGTGAGCCAAGGTGGGTTTGTTTATCTCCACCTGAAAGTGGGACATGCTGGGGCTACTCTGGTCAGAACATTACCTTTTATCAAGCACATGGCTTTGCAACTGAATACAAGCTCAAATATAATGAATTCAGCTACAAATGCAGGGCATTGGAGATTGCTTACTGGGAAATCATTTTTAAAAGTTATTTCTCAATAAAACTCACATGGTGATGAAAACAGGGCTTTGCCACTAAAAAGAAGAATCACGACACAAACGTTTATGGTGAGCAGCTTATAGTCATTAAAATATAACAATCTAGTGTTTCTCAAAGTGAGCAGTACCACCCACTGGAGGGTGCTAGGATTATCTTGGGGGACACTAAGAGGCAAGGGGGGGGGATGTTGCTGGAGGTGTCAATTGATTTTCAAACTTTGAAAAGCTGGTATCACTGGCTCATCCATTTTGTTGAATTACTTATATAGCTTTGATTGGATTTTGAATAAATATGCAATGAATAGTTACTGTTTTGAATTTTATGGTGTTATTACCTTCCTTAGTGGGCCATGCAAACCACTTTTCTGAATAATGCTTTTTATAGGGGACACTGGGGGTGAATTGATGGAACCAAGGAGGTGGGGTGGGAGCCACTAATTTAGAGCAGTGTTTCCCAACCTTGGGTTTACAGCTGTTTTTGGACTACAATTCCCATCACCTCTGGCTAGGAAGACCAGTGGTCAGGGATGATGGGAATTGTGGTCCAAAAGCTGCCTGAGACCAAAGGTTGGGGAACACTGATTTAGAGGATCTGTGAACCAACCTAATTAAAACAGATTGCCCATTCCAATACATCCAGGCACGTGGATTGTAATGAATGGGAGGATTCCATCCTACCCATTTTCTGAGCATATTTACAGCCACACACTTTAGTTTGCTTCAGGCAGCAAAATGTATTGGACTGACCCTATATCAGAGGGACAAATAATTTACCTGGATCCTGGCTTCTGGAAGATTGATCTTTGCTGCTAGCTGGTTGCGGATGTTAACATCTGGGTAGTGTGTAATGTGGAAGATCCTCTCTAGCTCTTGAAGCTGCTCTGCTGTGAATGTTGTCCTGATCCTTCGTTTCCCTTTCTTTTCATCTGTACAAACAGAGGAATAGGTATTTTAGGGGATTATCTTTATAAGACAGGGAAGTGTTTGAAGCTGATCTAGGGGGCAGTGGCGGAGGAAGCCACTCGGGTGCCTGGGGTGGCGCAAGCCGCCCATAGGTGCAGGGCACACCGCGGGGCCTTCAGAGTTTGCCTGCCGCCTCCCATTCAGTCACCCAGCTGAGGGGGAGGCAGCTGGTGGACCATTTGGGCAGCGCAGAGCCTGTGCGCACCCAAGCTGCTGCATCTCTGCCAGGAGAGATGCATGGCTCAGGCATTTTGTCAACCTCGTCAGTGGTGACACCCAGGGTGGCCTGCACCTACCGCACCCCCCTTCCGTTGCTCCTGCTAGGGGGGCAACCTGCTCCGGAAAAGCAACAAACCACTGAATTCTGATTAAGGGGAAAAAAGAGTATGGTTGGTTTCCTTTTTGAGAGGAGTGGGATTTATCCAATTATGGCCCCAAATAAAAAGTATAGATAGGACCCATCTCCCCATCTTACAGTTGTCCAGCACAAAAGACCCAGGATCTATCTTCCTATAATTTGGCAAACTTTACACATCCTTGAGGGGCTACTGTGCCCACAAATTTTAACCCTTTCTGTCAAAAGGATATTGATTTTCCAATAGTGGAGGGGTGGGGGACAAAGAAGACTCAGACCCCCGAACTGAACTAGTCAGCCTCTGAATTGATGCAGGGGCCTGAGTCTTCTTAAGCTTAGAGATGTTTATTACACACTTGAAAAGCTGCTCCCAAGCAAAACTAGGCTGATTTACACATGATCAAATCAAGCCAAGTCTTGTGGCTATTACAAAATTCTACCAAGCACATCTCATTGTTGTTGTTTTTTGAAAGATCAAACACATACGAATCTCACTCCCTTCCAAGTAATTCATGTGTCACAACAAATCACAACAGGCTACTGAGGATGGCTAGGCTGAGATATAAAGCCTTGTTTGCAAGTGCTATATGTGAAGGCTTGATCAGGACCAAGTCTACATTCCTGTCCATATTGCCCTTTCCACCAACCCTGCCCCTAACAAGTGGGCACTGAGTATAGATGCCTGCAAAGTGGCATCTAATAATGAGCAGTTGCTCACATGTAGGTGGTCAGTCACAGTCTCAACCACATATCAGGCACACTTTTATCACCTATTATGTTTAGCCTCAGTCACCTTATTACTAAACAACACAATCTTATAGCTGTAGCGTTACAGCAAGTAGCAGGATGCACATGGTTGGTGGGGGTAACGCTGAAGGGATGATATTCTGAGACGACAATCTTACAAGCTCAGTTTTCAGTGTGGCTGCAAGTTAGGCAGAAATATAAGCATCCATCATAATGAATACTGTCATCACAGGCTCATCTCAGAAGGAAGGGTCAGATTGATTGAATGAATGAAGCTTATGTACCAGAAAGTTCCGTCTCAAACCCTTGGACCTTTAAGTAGCGTATCAAAATACAGCTCATTAGATGCATCTCTTGAAGTTGCCTCAAGGAGGAAGTGCCAGTCACACTAAGTCTTGCGGACACTATGAGGGCAATGATCAGAGATAAGCAAACATTTCCTTGGATGTGCATTAAAGACAGGAGTCCTGTAAGCGCCAGTCTTGTTGAAACAAGTTGTTTCAGAAGAAAGTTCTGTTCAGTTTTTAACAAAAATCTATATGGGCTAGAAACTATAGGGGTCAAGAATGTTTTGCCACTTGAGGCAAAGCAGAAAATAGCACTCTCGCCTGCTTCTCTGCCCGCACCACTGCTGCCTGAGGTGACTGGAGGCAGCCCAGGAAGGCCAGGACATGCTGGAGGTGGTGGGAGACAAGTGAAGGAGGTGGTGACTGGTATGCTGCTGCCCCCTAGATCTGTCACCCCTCCCAGCTGTCCCTAACCTGAGGCATTCATCCTGATTTGCCTGTATGGTGTTTATAGGTTTCCCCATCAACCAGTCATTTACCCTACATTTTTTAAAATCTGCTAACCCACCACTTTCCTAATCACAAAAGTATTTTTTTATAAAGTAGATATGTTTCACCAGAGTGCTTTAATCTACTTCAGTTGCACAAACCTACATTTTCAGCATTTTCCACAGAATACTGACAGTGGCCATTGTCTGGAGAACAGATTGTCCCTTGAGAGTACAGATGTTCGCCGCCTTGGTGTCCCACTGCAGATGCCTCTAAAGAACACTTTTGTTGATATTAAGGTAATGTAGGTCTTGCTGCTTCCTGCACTTGGTGTGACAAGCTGTTTACTGATTCGTTGCATATGGACAACAACACACAGAGTTTTTGAGTGCCAGTCCTGTTGAGAGCATTTTTTTTCAAAGCTGGAACTCATCAAATTAAAAGAATAAAATAACCTGAGGTTAGCTGTGGACCAACAGAGTCTGAGTAGACTGGCTTTGATTTCAGCTCCAAATGAAATTGCTGCTGATATAGTTACAGTCAGCTAATCAAGAACTCGCCAGTAGGAAAGTGAGATGGTGCATTTTTGATTAAACTTAATAATTCTGTTTATGTTTCAGAGAGAGAGAGAGGGAGAGAGATTTGGGTGTGGGGAGAGAAAGGGGAAGAAAGAAGTGGCACGTCAATGTTAGCATTCACCCCCACAAGGTGAAATTTTCTCTGACTGCAGCTCCGAATATTTGTAAGTGCCTTTGGGATTTCAACTTTGGAGATCCCACAGCAAACAACAGCGCTCAAAATTACAGTCTAATAAAGAATGTGGGAGGAGGATATAAGGCTAGAGAATGTTGAGCGTAACGCCAGATTTACAAATTTGGCTCCAGAATCCCTGGGGAAATAAGACACCATTTCTTTTTTGAAATGTTTCCATATGCAAAAGCTTGGGATGTTCAAATGCATTTTTAAAAAGCTGCAGGGAAGTCATTCAGAATAAAAGCTTAAGTGGTTTAGGAGTGCAGCTCCTTTTTATGAATGTAGATCCTGAAACCTCTAGCAAAAGTCCCCATGCTTTCATGGAACAAAGAGCAACCTTAGCATGCTGTAGTATTTCAAATAGGCTCATCAGTTCCACACAGATCTTCGGCTGCAGACAGACTGGTATGAAACAAAGTGGTCCCTAAGGTATTTCAGGGTATTTCAGGCCTAGAGACCTCCAGGTCTCTTGGGACTCTCTCCAGGTCACAATCCTCACTGGTCCTGCTCCATGTCCCCCTCAATTGCTGTTGCTCATTTGCAATGTGTCCTTGAACTGTAATGATGCCTCTTGCCTGCCTAGATAGATGCATGTGTGCAAACCTCTGACTTTTGCATGGCTAGAATATAGTCCTGTATAGAGGGAAAAGTAACACCCATTTATCTGCTGTCTTTTATCACTGGCCCTCTCTACCACAGGAAGTCTACCATGGCCCTTGGCTTAGAAAAAGGTCCCCCACTTCTGCCCTGCTATGAGTTATCATATATCTATATATTGTGCTGGTAATGATGATGTTGCTGATGTTGAGGCCAGTTTTAGTGCTGTCAGCGATGGTGAAGATGACATCAGCTTTGCTTCTTCAGAAAGGTGATCCAAATCACAGCCACTGGTGTCTGAATGGTGTGGCAAGGCTTTTTAAAGTGTTGGCCCTTCCATGAAAGTACAGGTCAGCCAGTTCATTAAAAATATAAAAAAAGGATGTAACCATGCTATGCTTCAGTGAAGCAAACCAAATTTGCTTGTATACATAAGGAGATATGTCTGCTTTGGGGCTTCTCCTCCAAGCTAAAGAGCTTGCTTTCCAATTTAAGAAAGCATGTGGAGAGACAACGAGGCGGGAGTATGGTGCTGTGGCTAATTTTTTTTTTTTATTAAAGGAGCTTCTCACCCCTTATTAAAAGGGACTAGTGTAGTCAGGGAGAATGGTTCTAATTGGGTACATACAAATTGCTCAGGGTACAGCCTTCTGCTACTGAAGCATAGCATTTAGCATCCTGCTGCTATCTGTTGAGGCATTGCAGAAATAGAGCAGCAGGATGCTGGGATGTTTAAAGGCTCCATTTCATTTCTTTCAGCCCAAAACTTTCAGACAAAAAGCTGCCTTTACCCAGACACCAATCATAGATTGCTTAATTATTGGAGAGGAGGGCTGGAACAGAGAGTAAGCAGAAGGCCCCAGGCACTAAGAGCAGAGAATCATTCAACAAAAACAAATGAAAACAAAAAAAACAACAACATGAGAAGTGGGAATGGATAGTGAGAAGGACTGGGAGCTCTCTGTCTCTTTCTCCCTCCCTTCCCCAACTCCTCCCTTCCTCATGCAAAGCTATGAAATGCTCACCAATGTTTTGTGAAGGTCCCTGTTCAGTGTGCTGAAACCAAATGCAGTGTGGAAGAAGATACCTTTGGAGGCCAAACACACCTTGAATTCACTGCCAGCAAGGATGTGTTGGCAACTGGTATGGTTGGAATGGATTTGCTTCTGGCAAATTTACAGCAACTCTCATCCTGGAAAGGGGCATTTGTAGAGAGGCTTCTGAGCTTCCCAGTATTTAATAGTTTTGCGTCCTGCCTCCTGCTCCAGACATGACATCAGAGGCCGTTACTTGAGAGGAAGAGAAGTACGCTATAGTTGCAACAGCAGCAAGAAAAGCTAATTCTGTCCCAGAGCGCCTACAAACAGGACGGAGGAGTTAACCAAGCTAGGAACACAACCAGAATTCCAAAGTCCAAGGTTAGGCTAAGAAGTTCAAAACTATATGAGAGCAGTGAAGTTGTCCCAACCAGTTTTCAGGCCAACCCAGCAAGCTTTATGGCGACACAAGGGAAAGGAATAGCAAGTTCCTTGCAACTTCCCCTCTCCTTTGGAGCAGTGTTGTGCACTGGGCCAAGTGGGAGAGGGCAATTGAATGGCCAGGGATGAAAGTGACAAAGACTAATCCTACTTGGGGATCTCCGCCCTGAACAAGGGCATCTTGCCCAAGGACTGCACCAAACTTGGGAGCTGTCCCTGGCTCTCCTGAGGATGCAAATATAGACTTAGAATTCAGGGTTCAGGTCCATTTCACACATCAGATTGCAAAAAAATTGCATTTCTTTTAAAAATGCAGATTGTTGTGGAAATGGGACAAGCATCAGTGAAGACAGGTGGCATCGGATGGAAATAGACTAATTCAACCTTCCCTAGTTGTTAGGGAGCAAGATTGGGAAAATGATATTGCTCTCATGCCCTGTTGGGGGCTTTTGGCTGTTGTAAGAAACAGAGGGTTGGACTAGGTGAGTCTGATCATGCAAGGCCCTTCTTGCATTTAACTAACAGCCTTGTACCTTGTGCTTGGGAATTCTAAAAAACCAAACAATCAGTGCAGTGCTGAAATTTGTGGTTACTATCAGTACAGTTATGAGAGGTTCATTCCACCGTATTGATTCAAGATGGCACCCAACTATATCCAAACATAGAAGAAAACCTGTTCTTTGATCTCAGCAAATGATATGCAAAATTTGGTTAAAATCAGTGCAGTTTTGAAAAGCCGAGTCTGCTGTCTTGATCAAAATGGCACCCAACACTCTTTTATCTCAGATGAAAGTCTGCTCCTTGATCTCAGAAACCATCACGCAAAATTTGGTTATCCATAGTGAACAGAAATAGCTCATACAGAGCTTGCCCAGGGCAGAAGTCTTGTGAGACTAAAGTTATAAACTAGCAGAAAAAGCAGCTGGTCCCTGACAGGGGGGCCCTGGTCAGCTTAGCCCACTGAGGCCTGGGGCTCAGTGTGCCCAGCGGCCCCACACCCTCTGCACAGACCTTTCCAAAATATACAGCAGATGATACTTGTGTTTTTGAAACAGAACTATAGAATGAAGTTGGATTTATTATAGGTTTCTCTGTCAGACCATTTACAAGCTACCTGTTGCTATCTGTTGTTACTTGTACCTACAAAGCTATACACATCAATCAGAGGCTCTTGCCTTTTTCAGATCTCTGTCTCAATCAGGTTTCCTGCTCCCTTTCCATTCCTGCAGTGTAATTTTGTCATTACCTTCAGTATACCTGGCCTCTGCTCCTTACTGATATAAGATAAAACTCTTGTTAAAACAACAGATAAAAGGCATGCCCTCAATTCTTAGCCAAGAAATAATAAAAACACACACACCAAGAAATCAAATCCTTGGACTGCAATGACGAGTTCTTAGATCAGTTTGGGAAAAGACCAATAAAACCACAAAAGATGTTAGAGAGGAAATGGTCAACAATGTTATTCATTTATAAAACAGTCCCATAACCCAGTGTCTATTAGCAGAAGCCCTACAGCTGTGATCATAACTTTACCGAACAGCCTTATCAAATGTGACCTGCATATGTGAAATCCCAGGAGATGCAGGAGAAGGTATTTCTTCTCCTAACTTGCACCTTTATGCCAAGTGACTTCTCTCTGCTTATGGCACATTGGTTGGATTATATAGGCTGATCTGAGGGGAACTGGAGAGTCAGAGAAAATGTAAGAAGAGTCCTGCTGCATCAGGCCAAGGCTGCATCTAGACAATTGTCCTGTTTTCACAGTGGACAACCAGAACCTTATGAAAAGCCTACAAACAGGACTTGAGTACAGTCTAACTCAGTGGTAAGGTATTGGATAGGAGTCCGAGAGCCAAGCTAATCATTACAGTAAGTTACGGTTTTTTAATTTTATTTAATGTGCACTTTAAAAAATGCAAATAGCAGCCACGGCTTCAGATTGCAGTTAGGTCTAGGGTGGCAAGGGCTGGGGAGGAATGTTGAATAGCAGCCATGTTAGGCATGTTGGGAGATAAAGCCGAACTCTCTCCCTCCTTGCTGTGGTCCTGAAGAAAATCACCCACCTCCTGCGAATCTCTCATTTTATCCAAATATAATACATCTCACCATAGTGAGGAAAACACCAGGTGACCAATGTGTGCCTGCTCAGTCTGCTGACCAGGTGTTGTTAACTGCGGATGGGTAACTTCAAAGTTCCTTTTTATGATTTCTTTAAATCAGACTTGAACTGGACAACCCCTCAACAGAGGACACCTTCGAAAATAGAGGACTGTCCTCTGAAAAGTAGGTTGCATGACCACTTTGCAGTGGTACAGCATGTTTTACATGGAAAAAGCTCCAGGTTCAATCCCTGGTATCTCCAGGCAGGACAGACTCATGTCTCAGTTTCCTGAAGACAATTCTGAGCTAGATAGACCAAGGGTCTAACTTGGTACAAGACAGCTCCATACCCCAGTTCCAGCTTCTCATCAGATTGGAACTAGTGTAAACGGTTTGTGTCTTGCTAGTGATAGATATTTTGAGCACTGCCCTGCCTTGAGATAGTTTCCCTCAGGATGGAAATTCTGTAGATTCTGAACTACCCAGTAACACTGCCACATTCTCAAACTGAGGAAATAAGCCTAGAACCCCTACTTCCATGTGATGATAGGCCTGATGGACTTGAACAGGAGGCCTGCTAGACAAAAGGAAGAAGCGGTGACCCTAAATCGGCCTTCTCCAACCTGGTGACCTCCAGATGTTTTCAGCTACAACTCCCATCATCCCCAGTCAGCACTGTCCTAAGAAATCAGGGGTAAAAATGTACTCCGAAAAGCTCTTGCAATGGGTCCTAGTTTTCCATCTGACCCTTCTGACTGACAATACTAAGATGCCAGTCTCTTCAGCTCCTTTCTAGTCCCATATTTGCATAAGCTTTTAAAACATGAGTAGGAAAATGTTAACTTTCTCTGCACCCTTTAGAATATTCTCTTTGAGGAAAAGGGAAAGTGGAGCAGGTGAAACACAGAATGTTGGGCGGGGGGAGGTCTTTGGAGCCAGGATGACATTTTACTTTGGTAAATGTAGCATTTGACTTCCAGAAATTGTGACATTTTAGCCTGGCGCAGGCTGAGAGAAATGTTACTAATCGGGAGAGAAATGGCTTTGAGGTTTGTTTCAAATTGCCTTGGCTTCAGCCTTTGCAGCAAGATGTAAGATAGGATGGTTGAATTCACTTCTGGAAGCCTTAGTTCAAAGTAATGACTGAAAAGTCAGACTGAAAGCCAGATGCAAATTTGGGAGCCTAGGAAAAAAAGTTACAATAGATCTTTTGTTACTGGAGTACTATTTGAAGAAGATTTCTGCTTCATACAACTCTGCTGAAACTGCTCTCAGGCTATTAGCTGCAAAGGTGATGGTGGAAAGGAAATATACCAGTTAGCCCTGTCTATGGAAGCGACGACTCCACATGTGGGAGAAGGCCCGGGCTTGACTGAATGAGATTTCCCCCTAATGCATTTTTGGACAGTTATTATTATATTTATTAAATTTGTATACTGCCCTAAACCCGCAGGTCTCAGGGCGGTTCACAGGGGGAATTCAATTCAGTCTGCATTTGAAGCCAAATCTATCAATTTCATACTTTCTGAAACAATTTGGGAAGCGAAATATAGCCATCATTTGAAATTCATGCTTATCCGAATTCTGCAATGTAGTTTTCCAACCTATTGGTCAACCAATGTTTACAAAAATGCTTATATTAGGAAAAAGTGCATAAAAATTAACACAGCACTGAAAAGAATGTACAAAGTGAATTACATGAGAAAAAGTCACACTAAATTTCCGATAATGTTCATGAGGATTTTATAATAAAAAAAACACCAGAAATCGCTGCAGAAATGTGGAAAGCTGAAGTTAATATTAGACAAATGAGAAATTTAGAGAATGGAACTTGACAGCTCATTCCATCCCTACTTGGAAGTGTAGGAAATCCCTGATCTGCCTTAAGGCACCTTGTTAACTGCGTGATCTGACTTGGAAGCACACTAACTTTCCCTGAATCAATCTGATTCAATTCATAAGTTGGGCTGCATGGAGTCAGCGAACAAACACCCTTAATAAATGGTGGGAAATCGCAATTGTTGGTGGGTCTCCACCACAGTGGTGGACCTTGGGGTCTCGAATTTCAATGGCTCCCTATGCAATGCCAAAATTTTGTGCCCCCTGCCTCTCTCTCTTCATTATAAATAATAGTTGTGGTGTCTCCTGAGGCATCTCCGAAGCTCTGCACTCCGTGGATCCGAACTGGTTGCATGCCCCTAAATCTGTTTCTGTCTGCTACATGCATAAACTGCGTAAAACAGATATTTCCTTTTGCTATAGGATATCATGTACGTGTTTTGTGCATGCCCTTTTTCTCAGCACGGAAGTAAGTTTTTTTGCAGCAAAATCATCTCGTTTGGAAAAAACAGCTCTAGATTAATCTGGTCATAGATCATAGAAGGATTTGATGTTTAATGTTTTATTATGTTTTTATATATGTTGGAAGCCACCCAGAAGTAAACATTCACAACACTAGAAATCACCTCAGGTCTTCCAATCTTAGTTGCTAATTGCAGTGTTTTCACACTGCACAGCCCTTCCTAAAGAATTAGCAGTTGCTTGTCTTTGTGTATGTTAGCACAGGGCCTTTTCACTTCCAGGCATCACAACTTTTTGAAATCTCAGGCTGACAGTTTTGCAATTTTCATATGGAACAAAGTGGCTTGAAATTTCAAATTTCAATTCATTTCATAGTGTCGGGATGTGATGTCAGGACACCCCTCCCCCGCTCCATTCTTTCCCGTTTCACCTGCACCTGTACATATATTGTAGGGTTGCCAGATCAAATATTTAACAAAAAGACCAAAATTTTGGCTTCGTTGTATGAAGTTTGTCAAAGTTCTCACGTAGAAGGGATGTCATCAATGCATTTTCATGTTGGGAAAAGCTGCACCTGTCGAACCTCTGCCAAGCGCACTTCTGTTAAAGGTGCAACATCGCAGCAGCCCTAGCCAGGCCAACTTATTGCAGTGTTTTGCCGACTGGAGAACACATTTGAATTCCACCCCTCCATCATCTTGCCCAAAGGGTTATACGTTGGTATCATAAATAAAGTAATTTTGAATGCGAAGATATTAAGCATGATGATATTAAGTCATGAAATAAATTGTGGCTGGTGGCTGTCTTAAGCAATCAAACTTTGGAGTCATGCAAGGGCATAAGAGGATCAAGGGCATAAGAGGATCAAGGCTCATATAAGTTTCATAAACTAGAAGCAGCGGTACTTACTTACCCTTAGCCGTTTCTGAAATTGGCTCTGTTCTGAGGATTTGAGCATCCTCAGCGTGGTTATTGCAGATCGTCGTCGTGCGTAAGCAGACCTCCCTGGATTTTCTTTTTAAGATCTCTTCAATAGAAAAATGTAGGATGGGCCTCTCCCCGTTATCACGTTCCTTTGAGTCACTCATCTTTTTTTCCATCATGAAGGTGGAAACGCAGAGTCAAATTTATATATGATGATATGGAGAATATACTGTGTATACCACACTCTTGCTGTTGTTCATTTTATGCAAGGAAAAGGCAAATAAATGTTGATTTCTCTCTCCTTGCTGACACCTACTCAGACTAATTCAAAAAATGGGAGGAGGAATGAAGCCCACTTTCTCTTTTGGATCCCTGAAATCTGCTACAATATTTAGAAAAAAAATTGAGTCAGAAGTAACAGCATGACAACCAAATAGAAGCAGTGTGTGCAGCCCCACCCCTATCAAAACAACACCCCCACATTTAAATTTCTAAGCCTCTTCATACATCCACTCTCATTGTAATCCCAAGAGGAGGAGTGTTCTTCTTAACAGTTCCAAGATCTTGCTAGAAAGACCCACTGAAAAGAAGCTTAATGTAAGAAAGAATTTAGAAATGATTACTTTCCTTTTTATTCTTTCCAAAGAGATCAACAAACAAGAACCAGCACGTTCTTCTTCGACCAATAGGCGGTATGGCACTTGAAAAAGCAATTGGAGTAAATATAATTTTCTTCAAGGTTATTTGGGAAGTCTTTGAAAGTCTTGAGCATAAATAAACAAGCTTCTCGGGACCTTCATACTACTTATCCTTTCTGAAATGATTTGGGAATTTTATCTTCTGTCAAGTTTTACAACTGGCAAAAAGTCCCAAAACTGCTGCTTTGCAAAAAGCTTTTGCCAAAATGGCAATAACGAAAAATAAATATATAAAAAGATTCCTAGAATGCCTGAGCAAATGGAAGAGTCATTTCCCCTGCTGTTAATACTTCGACAGATCTTGCTTGAAAAACATCCCAAAGGTTAGAGAATCCTCTCCGTGTAAGCTCCATGAGGAAGAACTTCAGAGGCTCATCTTCCTCTCCCACTCCTTTGGATTTCTCTTGTTGTTTTTAACACATTTAAATGAAGTTTTGTACATTCCGCTAAGATTCCCCTCCCCACCTATGAAAGTCAACTCCCTTTTCGGCTGGCTCTTCCCTTTGGATTATCTTTATCCCACAATTGTACTGACAGACCATTCTTACTTGTCCAATTACCTGATATCCCATCATATGATTCTTTGTATAGCTTAGGCTGAAATTACTGTGTAACCAAGGTGGCAATAAAACTCACCTGACAAGATGAAAGACTTCTGGCTTTTCCCAAGGGCTGGTAAAGTTAGCTGCCCAGGGACAGTAATTATGGTGGAACACCAGCATGTCAGGCAGAATAAAATGTGTATATTCAATTAATCTAACATCACCATCCCATGCTTTGGGTGGATTTTATTCATAGAGAAGTATGCACAGGTTTTTACCCTGACAATGCAGTCCTGTGCATGTCTATTTATAAGTAAACTGCATTCATTCCAACGAGGCTTAGTCCTGACCTGAATAAGTGGGCATAAGATTTCAGCCTGAATGTACTAATCAAAGTTCTATTCTACAAAGCAAGATAGGCTATTGACTATCTTTCAGACTGATAACTAAAGTAGCACCAATCCTTTATCAGTTCTTTGCAGATAACTTCATTTGGAATTTTATGTTTTAACTAATCTTATAAGCCTCCTCACATAATAGCATAATCTTATGCATGTTTACCCAGAAATAAGTACCTCTGAATTCAATGAGGGCTCCTTACAAGTAAGTGTCTATAGTATTGCAGCCTGGGAGCACAATGAATCACCATCATCATCCAAGAAGAGGCAATTTAGGTCAAAAGGAAGGATTTAAATAGTGATAATAAAGCCAGGCAGACCCAAGAATTTGCAGAAGTCCCATTTTGTTGAGGTCCTGTTTTATTGCGTATTGCAGTTAATCTGATTCTGTTTATATGGAACAACTCTGCTGTCAAGGTATTTTACAGACCCCTTTGAATGAATGCAGCCATTGTCCCTCACACTGGGTTAACCTACAGGTGAGGGTCACCCGGCACCTTCATTACATATCTTTATGTGCCTGGCAAAAACATTTTTCTATAACCAGGATTGATTAAACATTCTACGGCTTTGTAAATGTGTTTGGGGAGGGGTTATTGGCTTGGTTTCTTCACAGGATTACTTCACAGAAGCCGGTAATCCTGCCAGCAATCATCTCTCTGTTTAATTAAGGCACTGCAAATTCTCCCCTTCCCTTCACAGCAGCTCTAGTCTCATTAAGAAGAGGCTGCCATGTAGGTGGATGGGGAACAGCTATACCTGCTCCCTGCCATCCAAGAACATATAATCTAGCCTTACTTTCCTTTGCAGAAGCTTTTTGCCCTCTCCATTTTTATGATCCATGACCTGTTGTAAAGGCCAAGAATAAGGACTCTTGCAGCCTAAGCCCTGTTGTTGATGCTCTATCAGTGTCTTGTTTGATGTTTATCTTGCTGCCTTTATCTCATTCCCTTGGGAGACAAGGTATCTCATCGCTCTTTAAAAAAAGAAGAAGGCATTTTTAAAATTGTAAATCAGAATGCAAGCAGAACAAAAAGATAAAGAGGAAAAACTAAGAGGAAAAAACTAGATCCCTCCCTCCCTCCTTCACAAGAAAAAAAGAAGCCATCACAATCTTACATATTTAGGTACATATTGTTATAAGAATTTTAAGCTCTCTCTCTCTCTCTCTCTCTCTCTCTCTCTCTCTCTCTCTCACACACACACACACACACACACACACACAAATAAATGTTCATAAATGTACCAATGTCTGGAGCAGCACAGACCTTCCTGAAACCATTTTGACTCCCTGAAACCATTTTGACTCCCAAACTGACCAAATGTTTTCTCTGCAAGGAGGGAGGGGTGAGGGAACTTTCCCATTGTTTCAGGGAGTGGGTAATAGTAATCACCATTTCAAAGGAGTGGGCAGACTACCAGGAAAGGCACTCAGATAAGGCATTATCAGAAAACCTGCCAGACAGGAAAAACAACACCACTCAAATTTCTGTGATGTAGGTATGATTTTTGTGGGGGGTGGTCTTGGGTTACACCCCTTCTGTGATGTATGTATGATGTATGGAGGGGTGGTCTTGCGCTCCAAGGCAGGGAATTTAAAATGTCTATATAAGGGCAGGCAGACCTTTGTTCGGGGTCCTCCTCCTTTCCTGTGTGTGAGGGAAGCACCCTGTTGCAACATATCAATAAAGATCAGGCTTACTAGCTGCTTTGCTTCTCAATATTCTCTGGTTGGCCTCTGTTATTTTCTCCTACCAATAGGGAACCCACGTAAGGCCTCTATATGGGCTCTTGGATACCCCATAAGGGGAAAAGGGCAGGTTTTGTTTACAACAGAAAACATACAGACAATTCAGCAAGTCCCTAGAGAAGTGAAAATAAATAGTCTTAGAGTTCAACACAGCAGTACTGCTTAAAACATAGCCCATTTGTCATTTCCTTCCGTTTAGGTGCAGATAGATATTAAAGAAGAGTAAAATAAGTTAGTATGGCTAAAGGTGAGTATATGCTGACAGTGGTGAGCAACTATGCTCTACTGCGTTAACTATAGAAAGCTGAAAACAGCTAGCATTGCAGTCTTAATATCAACACATGACTCCATTTGTCTGAAACAAGTAGAGCTGGAAGCAACAAGGGCCTTGGCTATCACTGAAATGTTCATCTAAAGACAAATGTGAAACATCTAAGGAAGGAGCACCTAAGGAGAAACATCTAAGGAAATAAATATTTTATTTTTTGTAGGGGTGACAAACCTGCGGCCCTTCTGATGTTGGAATCCAACAGTCATGATCCTTGACCATTGATGATGGTTCCTAGTACGAGGCTGTCCTCTACAGAGTAATGCACAAAGTCACTCTGTTTGTTACTCTGTAAAACAGCAAATGTTTGTGCAACCTTTTCTCGGGAAACATAAAGGAAGCACATAAAGAGGAATCTAGGCATATTAGTCAGCCAGTATGTGAACAATCCATGATTATTTAAGGACAAAGAATTAGCGTCTTCCTCAGCAAACACTTCCCCAATATATGTGCTCCTCTCCTCCGGCATTGAAAAGGAGACTGTGCTTAAGAATACTTCATAGCTTGATAAAACAGCTGGGAATCTGGCTTCAGGAAAACAAGTTTGCCAACTCTGGCAGTCAGTCTACAGATGCCCATGTTCTTTATTGTGAAGCATGCTTGCTGTATGTTTAGACAAACTGAGTGGAGACCCTTTTTTTAAGCATTTCATTGCAGACCCACTTGAAGCGACCCTTCCGGGTAGCAATGGCTCGTCTATGAAGGTGTACAAACTGGACAAGACAATGTTCTGGCCACAACTATATTGCTGTATGGGAAAATCTGAACCGGAAGACCAATTGTATATTGAGGAGGTAGTGATTCTGACATGGTTACCCTTCCTCCCTCTGTTCCTTCCCCCTCCCTGGCAGCTATTAAGTTTTTGAAGGTGTGAGAACCTTCTCTGATGTCCTAATCAGTTGGGAGGTGGTGAAGGCCCCCCCCCCCCAGTTGTCTTAATCAGTCTGGGAGGTTAGTGCTGGGAACCTTCTTTAGTGTTGCAAATAGTTGTTGGAGGGTGGAGCATTAAAAAGAGGTGGCTATCTATAAAATCAAATGGTTTGAGCAGAGTGATTTAGAAGCTCATGCATGAACTGATTGGCTGCAGGGCCATGCAAATTAAGGCTACCTGGGGGGAGTCACTTCGCCACTTCTTGAGGGTTTCCAAGTGGCAGATAGTTCATACCTGGTATGTATATATTGCTTGATGTTTAGGAATAAAAACTTCTTCTCACTCACTTGTGGTTTGTATTGGTTCTGAATTCCAAACAAAAGACCCACCTTTGGCAAGACAATTGCTTCCAGATGTAGGTCGGTTTTGGCTTAGGCATTGGATGTATCTCCCTTTTCAGCCTTCAGGTGGTGGCTGACACATGACAAGGTCGAGCCTTGGAATACGGGTCCTCCACAAGATGTGGATCTACTGGGGCGGCCCTCCCAAGTCTCTGGGGGAAGCTCTATGGCCCATC